TGTGTGTGCGCGTGTATGTGTGTGTGTGTGTGCGTGTGGCGGGGATTGACTGCTCGGCCCTTTGCGCAGTGTAGCAGTTCGTTTCTGCTAGTAAAAAGTAATAAAAAGGGGGTGGTTTCTGGACGCTACTTGGACTTCACTCCCGTTTCCCACTTCGGAAATATCTCTTTTAGCAGCAATTGTAGTTCCTCTAGTTTGAGGTACTTGGATCATAGTCAAGCATCTTAAGTGTCCCAAAATGTTCAAGGCTCCTAAGCTTTGAGTTAAGGTTGCTTTACAGGGACAGTGTGCTGCGGCAGATCTCCCATTTCAGTGGGGTTGCTGTGTCTTTCTTGCAGAGACGAGGTCGCTTGGGAAGGAAGAACTTCACAGCATTCCGAAATATGAAGCTGATTCCCATGGAAACATCCTCATCCTCTGATGACAGTTGTGACAGTTTTGGTTCTGATAATTTTGCAAACACAGTAAGTACAGGACAAGAATAAAATTGAATGTGCGGTGTTAGTAGTTCCCCCCGTGTTTTGTGCATGATTAAAACCGCTTGCTCTGCTTACATTCTTGTTCAATAGTCACAAATCTACACTATGCACTGTAATTTCCATTCACTTTGCTTATGCTTCTAGGTAGTAATTGTTGGAAGCAGATTAGCTATTTATTCCAGCCTTTGAAATGTCACCTAACCTAACATGCCTGATAATTTGCCACCACAGTTCTGAAACCACTTGTAAATCTCTGGACTATTTTTTCCTTTATTACAAAAGCTATTAGCTTGTAGTATGCTCTTAAGTGTGAATCGTTTTCTGTACAACTTCTGATAAAATATAATTTATTCTTTATAGAAACCCAAGTTTAGGTCAGATATTACGGAACAACTGGCAAAAATCTTTTATGAAGCTTCTGATGATGAATCCTTCTGTGGGTTTTCAGAAAGTGAGATTCAGGATGCATTGGTAAGTTGGTTGATTTTAGTTTGTCGTTTCAATTATAAATTCTTGCACATTTTTAATTGAAAAGTAGTAGGAGATTCAGCTTAAAAGTCCAATGTTATCAGAAAGAAACACTATTTCCTAGTGGCCACAGGAAATGCCACAGGAAACGCTTTACCCTTTAGGGTGGAATCCCCCTTGCTGCTTTTCCTTGACTCCAGTGAAAGAGCAGTTTTACTCTCTTAATGAGCAAGAGCTGGTACTGAGTAGAGCAGGGAGCAATGTTACCATCTGTGGCATAAGATGAGTTTCTGGTGTAACTTTAGAGTATGCTGAGGAATGACTGGATGAGAATAGCACCTGGCTGGAGGAGGATGTGCGTCTCAGTGAATTTATCACAGCAGTTAAGAGCATGCAGGAGACAAAGGGGCAATAGATAAGAAAGGAAAAAGAATCAATACCTACATGTAAGTGGGCAAGCCAGAACCACATACCTTGTGTGTGTGTGTGTTAATAAAACCCTGGGCAGATAAGGGTGGCCATTTGAAACTGAACTGCATGTGAAGCAGAAAGCCTGTTCTTACCTGTGACCCAAAATAAGACCAAGTCTTACTGAGTCTTAATAAAACTAAAGTCGTCTTCTCTGCTAGTCTGGCAGGTGGCAGCTGACAGCTACAAGTGAAACTGGGCTTTTCTGGTGTTTCAGTTTTACAGTGTAGCTCTCCCTGACAGCCTTTTACCATATCTATCTATCTGCCTCTCACACGCACGCACTCTTGCATGTTTTAGAGCACTAAGACCTGAAACTTGAAATGAAAGATTAGATTTCAGCTGGATATCATCTTTAAGCCACCTTCCCCAAAATACAAAATTGTCAAACCGTATTTAATTGTGTATTTAATTACATTGGTTTTGTGTGCTTCAATTTTTGTTTGTTAACAGAAACTGGACTCAGATTCAGAGGAGAATGATGTAAATGCTGAAAGTGGGATAACTCGACAAAGACAGAAATGCTCTGTTCCTCTGAAGGTAGCCATGAAGTTTCCACTCCGACGATCGAAAAGGAGAAAGGATGAGATGGACTCTCTTCCTGAGGAGATGGCGACTGTTCCGGATTCGGACTCTGACTCTGAAGAAAAGGGGTCCGTGTTTTTAGAAAAAAGAGCTTTAAACATAAAGGAAAACAAAGCAATGGTAAGTAAGTAGTGTTTTTATCCCCTTCCTTGACAATTAGCCAGTTTTCCTTCATTGTTTAGTTTAAGTGTAATTAGAATAGTAGTAATTCTTTAAGAGGAATTTATATTCTTAACATTTCAATCTGATACTTTGTTCACTGGCATGTGAAAATCCATAGACTGAGAAGCCCTTTGCTGGGGTGGGGGGGAAGTCCAGGTGTTAGAGCCCTAGTGTTCGATTAGGTTGCCCTAATCTATTAATCTAATAGCACATAAACGCCTTCTTAAGACTCTGCTTCCTTTTTCTTTTGTTAGCTTGCAAAGCTAATGGCCGAGTTGCAGAGTGTTTCTGGGATCTTTGGTGGGAGAAGATCACTGCCAGCTGCCAGTCATGTAAGTATAAGCTTACTGCATTTGCCTACAGATTTGAGAACCAATTTCTGATGTTGTAAACCATGATTGTCAGATAAAAAACTTAAGCCAAGTAAATCAAAGTACAGCTCTGAGTTTTATTGCTTACTAAAACAAGCATCACTATTGTGCAGGTCTCTTTGATTTGTCTCTCTGTATAAAACTGATCAGATATAATTCATAAAGGCGTAGTTGTCTGCACAGGCCAAGAAAACCCCCAAAGGTCCTGGGTAAATAGGGATCCTGGCAAACACTGGAGATAGGAGGGACAGCCCAGGCTTTGAAGTTCAGGCCTCAATGTCCCTTCTATTTGGAGTCTTGAAAAAAAATATGATACTGGGCCCAACTAGGCCTGTTAAGTTATAAGGCTGAGAATTGCACTGCTAATTTACCTGGAAGCCTTGTGAAGATGGAAGCAGCAATAAAAGTGACAGCTCTTCACAGATTAAATCCTGCTGCTTTGTGAGGGAATTACTGTGTCCATGCAGAGATAAGATACAAATGTGCCACTCTGGCTCTTCCTCTGGAGCTTGCTAAACTCTAAGGATGAATTAGGATGAATTTGCCTAGGATGTTTTTACCTTTTTTTTTTTTCCTCTCCTGACTGAGGCTAGAGAGGAAGAGAGGAGTGAGAGGGGGATGCTTTGGGGGAGAAAGGAAGAAGGGCTGTGTTTGGGGGGAGAAATGCATAGTGGGGATAGGGAATGTTGTTTTGGTTTTGGACTAGCCTATAAGGGGCGCTCATTTCTTTTTCCAGGCACCAAAGCGACTTCCAAGACGTTCCCTTCCCAAAAGTGCTTTGAGGAGGAACCCAGACCGGAGTTCTCGGCCTCACACAAGATCCAGGTCCCTGATTGAAGGTCCACCTACTGCTTTACCAGAGGAGGAGGATGATGATGATCGGTACTTCTTAGTGAGAAGAAGAAAGGTGTCTGATGAGTACCTGGAGGTATGTGGAAGTTTTAGTTCTTCAACTGCAGGTTGCTAATAAAGGTGATGTTTTCTGTCTCTTGAGGAAAAATTGAGAGCTAATTAGAGTTGTGAATATGTCATGGGTTGGAAAGAAGTACAGACAATAGCATGTTGTGCATGTTCTCCTTTGTGCTCCAGCAGGACCAAAAAAAAACAGCCAGGAGCATTTCATTTAATTGGTTAATAGCTTCAGATGGTGAAGCTGCATCCATTTCATATGTCCTTGCCAAAAAGAAAAGCATCTCTTATTTGAATAGAGGATCTCCAGTTTTAGTAGAAGATGGTTATTTGAGCCTGTGGTGCTGCCTCAAGGATCTCCACCTTCTTGTTTGTGTAGAGTTTTTGCTGACACTAATTGTAATCATATTATGTCTTTGCTATTCAGCACGAAGCCCAAACTCCCCGGAGAGGTCACCCTGGTGCCATGGCTCTTCCACACATTGTGCGTCCGGTTGAAGAGATAACAGAGGAAGAACTGAATAATATTTGTGGATCTGCGAGAGAGAAAGTGTATAACAGGGCCATGGTAAGTGTATTCCAAGTTTGTGAAATGAAGGTTTTGTGAAGTAACCGTTTGGTATTCCCTGCTTTGGGTTAGCGTCAGATAGCAAAGACAGGGTTTCCCTTGCTAGGGAGGAATTTGATTTTTGAGGAGGAAGGGAGAGAGTGCCCGAGATCTTGAATCATCATCTGTTACCTTTTTGTGAATTGATAGGGTGGCCTTTATCAAGACAGTTACCTTCCTCACACCCTGGAACTGGTGTCATATCTAGGAGATACCAGCCTGTGAAAGTGTTAACAAGCACTGAAGATACAGCTTTAAAATAGTTTTGATCCAAATTTGCTTTCAGTTTCTGCATATGTCCTGCTAGTTAATAAAGAAATAACTTGTCTATTCTGCTAACTGAAGAGCCATCTTTGTCTTACTCCTTGACCCGTTTATCCTTTGTAGGGCTCCACTTGTCATCAGTGTCGCCAAAAAACCATCGATACCAAGACGAATTGTCGTAACCCTGACTGCGTGGGAGTGCGGGGCCAGTTCTGCGGGCCCTGCCTCCGCAACAGGTACGGCGAGGACGTCCGAACGGCCTTGCTGGATCCGGTAAGACTCCTGTGGCTGTGGCCTTATAAATACTGCTCCCTGCCCGAGTTCCATAGTCTCTGCCTAGTTCCTCATGTTTAGGAGTTGTAGCAGGGAAGCTACTTGCAGCCCATACGTATTCCTAGATCAGCTCCAAGTGAGCCACAGAGCCTTGTGTTCTGTAAACACCCTGTAATTGTTTCTGTAGCGCTATTTACAGAGGCAGACTACAGGAGCCAAAGCATGCTTGCATTTAGCATTGAAACGCTGTTATCTGTTTTGTCTTGCATTGGTACTTAATGCATTGTGGAGATAAACTGCATCTTGAACAAAGAAAATGCTGCTGCTGTGGCTGTTGAAAGGGTGCGGGAGTTAAGCAAATGCTTCCTGTGGCTTTGTGCAAGGAAGGCAAATATCTTAGGGGATTTTCTCCTGTGTTGCTCTAGACAACTTCAGCTGATGTTTGCTGTAGAACTAAGTGGGAAGCAGGGCCCTCTTGAAAGCTGCAGTTGTAAATAATGTCAGGTCAGCCAGAAGGACTTGTCTGTGTTTTCTCCAGACCTGGAAGTGTCCGCCGTGTCGTGGAATCTGCAACTGCAGCTTCTGCAGGCAGCGAGACGGTCGATGTGCTACTGGTGTCCTGGTTTACCTAGCCAAGTACCACGGCTACGACAACGTCCATGCCTACTTGAAGAGGTGAGTGTGCTCAGCTCCGCGCACAGGAGAGGCAGCTGGGAGCAGGGGGGCGAGCGCGCTCCCACTCTCGTGCATTCACACCATTTAAGGATGTTCAGATAGGTCCTTGTTGCCTCTAGAACCCGAGATTTGCCCTCAGTTCTCTCCGTTATTGTTAGTTTTCACAAAAGAAAGCCCACAAGTGGTACATCCAGTCTGTTTTTGAGCACTGAACTTGAACTGGTGTTTATTGTTGTGGCTTCTGCTAATATGGCTAAGGAGTTTCTGAACAACACTTTGCTATAAACTGATTCCTGTCTCCACTTGTCTTTCAGTCTGAAACAAGAACTTGGAATGGAAGACTGAAGCTGTGGCTGCCTTCAAACTGCCTGCTCCTTCACCAATATTTCATTATTACCTACAGTGAATTGTTTAAACAAGTGACATTACAAACCCACTGCACTCATTCTGTTAACTTTTGGGTTAAAAGAAGACATCACATCTGTGACAAGAACTGTCATATATCTTGGTGCTAGCAGTACTCAGAAAAAAAAAAAGTTTATTGAAGACCTTTTCCTAGATGCTATTGTTACCTGTTAACTTAACAAATGAGAGAACATCAGTTTATTTTCATGGCAACAACTTTATTTTTTTTTTCCTGAAAGGAAGTGGGGCTTTAAGCCATTAGTTTTATTCATGTGATGATCTGTGCTGCTGTCTTGCTTATGCTTGAATATTAATCTCAAAAAGATAAAGCTGTTCTGACATTGTTCTGACTTTCAGGTCACGGGGGAAGGACAAGGTATGTGTGTAACTCATGACCAACTTCAACTTTATCTGCAGTACAGACCCGTCCTGAAAACATGTGATAGAAGCTAGGAGTTCTCTACAGCAGCTACTTGGTCTTAAGTTTAAAAAGGAAGCGCTAATGGTTGCAGCAGAGCAGTTTCTAGGCACTATTCCAATGGTTTTTGAGTATGCAAAGTGCAGACTTATTTTGAGGGAAGATAGTCCACTGAGTGGCTTAAAAATGTAGCAGAAGGAATATGGGGTGGCCACCTGGTAATACATTTTCTCACATGGCAGGAGGCCACCAGGAAGCCAACAGCTTCCACAGCACCAGTGAGAATTGCCTGGCCATGATAGGCACAGGTGTGAGGAGGGTACTGGTATGCACCGTGGAGGGACTGCTCTGTCTACAATAGAGTGTCCCCTGTGGCAGTTCACACTGTGTTTGGAAGTTTGCTTTTTCCTGCTGCTCCACCAGCTGCAGAGCCGCTCTGCAGAGTGGCCTTGGCCTGGGGAAGGGGAGCTCCCAAGAGCAGGGCTTGCAGCCAGTGCGGGAGCACAGGTGCTTCATGGGGCTTTTTGGCAGCTGTGAAGTAGATTGAAGATGTAGCTTGTTGAACTTGGATGTCAGAAAGAGGGGTGGTGACAAAGCACTGGGACCAGATACTTGAGTTTTATACATACAAAATGAAAAGTAAGAACTTAAGCTACAGTCTAGCTTGCAGTTGCATAGAGCAGCATAAGCATGAATAGAAAATGCTCTCAAGAGACATGCCCTGGCTATAGTGGCAGGTAAGGAAAAGCAGTTGCCTCATCTAAAAACTTCTCAATTATAAGTGAAAAGGGAGATGTAATGGTTGCATACAGTTTGTGAGTACTTAAAAATGTGCCATATTTCTATTTATGTCTGGCTCAGAATGGTTGTAGAAATGATGCCGATAATGAGCTGTGAGTACAGCAAAAACTGAGCTGAAGAACTCTAGCATACTGTGTGGATGGGTCTTGTGTACTCGGTGCTGTAGAAAAGAAAGTGCCATGAGAATTACATCTGGAGAACCACAAAGTATATAAAATATTCTGAGTTTGGTAATAGAAACTGCTGCATAAGCTTTGTGCAAGATTTAGAGCATGATCTAAAAGATACAGTTGGATAGTAGGCAGAATCAACTTGCACGTATTGAGCACTAGAACAAGGCATGGCCTTACACCTCTCCACTGGCACAGTACTTGTACCATATGTGTATATATAAAATGATCTACATTCTATACCTTTCTGGGAAGTGCATCAACATGTGTGAAAGGCGGGAGGAAAGAGGGATTTGGAAATAGAAGATGTTTACATGTCAGACCTGCAGCTCTGATCTGTGAATTGTCTGCCCTCTGCATTGTTGAAAATCTCCAGTCCCTTCTTTGTCTCTATTTTTATAGTGTGAATAGCTGTGCAATCTAAGGTGGAGAGTGCTTTACCCTCTAGGAACATTTCATGGAAAAAAAAGGAGCTCTAGAAATACATGTTCAGACAGCTAAGAGTGATTTTTCTAATTGTTGGGCTTGCCTTTTGATTGCTGGAGTGTGAAAGGACTACGTTAAAATCAACCCCTTGTATCATGTCATGGAGACTGCTGTACTGAGATTCCCTCATATCTATGAACTTCTGTACAAAAGCTTTTTTATATAATAAAAATGTTTTTTTCTGGTTAGAATTTTTGCTTCTTTACCATTATTAAAAAAAAAAAACTTAGATTTGTGCTACTTTTCTGATAAATAGCTGTGTGTACTGCTATAGTGTGAAGGAGTTGGTTGTACTTGGGGGAGTGGTGGAACTGCAGTATCTATCGGGATCCCAAGGCCCGAGTGTCTCAGGCTTTTGCCAAGTACTCACCTTGGGTGCTCTGTAGAGGCTGCGGAGTCAGATGCCTCCATCCTGACCCGCAAAGGAGGAGGATATTGACCTCGACTTCTGGGTGCAAGTCAAAATTAGGTGCTCTTCCCCCAGCCCCCACCCAGACTCCGGGTAGCCTCTCTGAGAAACCTCCTGCTGCTCCAGGGAAACAACCTGGGGGCCTTGGCTGCAGCCTGGTGGTGCAGAAGCCCATTCTGATACTTGGGTTTCTTGCTGTCAAGTCAGTGTAGCCCTGTCCAGAGAAGAGGTGTATGAGATTGTAGCAGAAGGATCTGTAAAGTCAGCCTGTGTTCAGATGGAGTAAACGGGGAAGAAACACCAAGAAACACCCCTTCTGTCCTACCAGCCTCAGAGGGTATTACACATTTTTCATCTGTAAAGCCTAAAAAGCATATTTATGAATGTATATGTGAATGTATGTATATATATACATGTATTTTTTTTTAAAGGGGAAAGCAAGGAGAGGAATATAAAACATAGCGGCAGCAGTTGTTCGGCCAATTAACAGTCTTGAGACAGGCAAAGCGTTTGTCTAGCCGAAGAAGGGCTTTCCGTGTAGTAAGGATGTGGGGACCCGGCTGGCTCTGAATCTCCTCCGCGGTGCGCAAAGCCAGGACGGAATTCGCCGCGTCCGACGCGTTGGGCAGAGTCACCCACTGACCTCTGCTGGCACAAGCCAGTTTGTTCTCTTAGCCCTTTGCTAGTGCAGCTCTTGGATGACTAATGGCCTAAGCTAGTGTGGGGGCTTTGGACACCCTGCCCCTGTGGTTTTGCTGTGGGTTTTTTGTTTGTTTGTTTTCTTGTTTTTTTTTTTTTCATATTTTCAGTTTTGTGACAAAAAAAAGAAGAAGGATGTGTAAGTCTGTGGGATTCTAAGCTTTAATAACCCAGGTAATGCTGGGCTATGCCATACAGTAGGTCAGCTTCAAATGTTAGGAGAGAAGAGAGCATCGCCCTTACTTAGTTCTCACCCTGCCTGGACTGTCAGGCTTGGCGGGCGGAGGGGGCAAAGGGGAGGGTAATTTGTATGCTCAAAACGTGGCAGCTGATGCTGGTGGTTGGAATCTGAAACTGGGAGCTGAGGGGAGGGTGGCAATCCTGTTAGGACTGAGGTTTAGGAGTAGCTCGGGGATATTAATTCTATACAAAAACATGTCCAGGGCAGAGAGCAACAGTCATCGTGAACAAGATCTATTGGCTGCTATTTGGCTGGCTTCCAGCCAGAGTTAAACGTGAGCCCCGTTCGCGAGGACGACAGGCCCTTCTGTTGGGTTAAAAAGAACAACCCAAAGTCATGGTGGGGCAGGGGTATGGTAAGACAGCGCTGCATCTACCCGCCTCTTACTGGTAGATGCTTTACTTCTTTAACTAACTAGAATATGCATGTGAAAGTGCTATTCTGTCTGTAAAGTGTTGCACAATCCAGGTGAGAAGGCTCCCACCGATACCAAAATGAGCATTGCTCAGACTTTCCAAGACTGCTCGCTGAGACGCCTCCCTGCCAGCATCCCAGCAAGCGCCTGCTCAAAACAACCCAGAGCAACCACACGAGAAGGCTCCAGTGACGTTCACCTTCAAAGTTTTCAGATCTCAGAGATGCTGGTAGGTGTTCTTATTTTATTTGTATATTGCTGAAGTAAACATACAAGCCAAATCAGTGTCCACTACTTCAGCTAGTACTCTGAAGATTCTCCATCTTCAGATGTACTCCAAGGTGCCAGCTCTAGAGGCCGACTTGTGCTAACAGGTTTTTTTTTCCACTTTCTCAAATACGTACCAACACAAATGCACTTACTGTCACCTTATGAGCTTCTCTTCTTATAAAGCTTTTTATCAGAATTAAACACTAAGAAAGAGCTTACTTCCCAGTACTTTCATTGTGTGGGATTTTTTTTTTTTTTTTTTTTGCTACTGGATGTAGGGGGTGGTGGTTTTGGTTTGGGGTATTTCTTTTTTGAGACTGGCTATAATGTGACTATATGACTGATAGCAGTGAGTCATCAGGCAGGAAAAAAAAAACTTTTGGAAATAAGCCAAAGTCAAATTCTTTTCTCATGCTCAGTTCAATCTGCTTCCTCTTTAAAAGAAAACTTTCATATTAGCAAAAAATAAGTGCTTAGCTAGAGTTCTTTTTGTGTCCCATTCAGCAGGGGAAGGGGATGAGCTGCCTCGCTCCCTGCCCTGCTGGCTTCCCCCACCACCCAGAGTTAACGCTCTGAGGCGTTTTTCTTTTCCCTTTATTTCTCTTTTCATTTAGCTCTCATGAAAATAGTCGTGGTGTTACAATTTTGGTATTAGAAGCTAAACATAGAGTTTTGTTGTGAGAACTGAACTGCTTTGATATAATCCCAGTTTTCTCTGATAAGAAATCATCCCTAATTTTCAAATGGTTGCTGTGGCTAAAAAAACAGCTCCCGTACTACACAGCTCTGAAGAGCTGCTCTGAAAAAAAATGGGTTGTAGCTACAAACCCTGTCTCCTTGCAAGCAGCATTATTTCTATTTCTTAATCTTTGCTTTATTAAGTGTACTTTTGTGGGCTAAACACTGCATTGCAGCTGAAGGGAAGTGGTTGGCAGAGTATCACGGTCTGCTTGGTGCCCTTCTTTTTGTTCCCGCCTGTTCTTCAGCTTTCCAAAAGCTCTGGAACTGCAGTATTTACCACCTGCTTTTGCGGTCGTGAGGCAGCGTCACTGCCGAGATGCACAACTCGCCTGATGTCAGGCCTAGCTCAGGG